ATAATGTAGCTTTTTCAATAGTTTTGATTAGCACATTCTAAACTCTTCTGATTCATGATAAGAGACTAACTTTGAAAAATTTGACTTGTACAAAGTGATTGCACTATTTGTGTTTGGAAACTAGATGGGGGTTCGGCATTTTGCAGATGTAACCTAAATAAGGCTAAAAGAAAATTGATAGTGTTAGAGAAAAGAGAAGTTTAAGAGATCTAATGCGCCAATCGGCTATCTTAGGATATCCCTGACCAGCTGATATTCGTCATATGTGGAATTAAAACATTATGCTGCACGTTGCCAGATATAGATTTCATTTGGCATTTTGTGTTGCGGGCTCTTTCCTTTTGGCTTTATAATGAGATGGAAAGCTCTGATGTATTTATTCAGTCAAACAACTCCACCTAAACAAGACTGATAAGGTGAGATTTCCACAAAAACAGTGAGAAAATAACAAAGAATCAAGAAAAAACAAAACAAAAGGGCTCCCTGGCTTTGGAGAGACAACAGTCTCTTCTTTTTCTTTGGATAGCTCCTTGTTCTTTCTACTCAAGGTCCGTTGTTCAATGTAATTGGGCTCATCATGATGTCCAAAGATGGGTATCAGTTTTGAAAGATAGGACCTGTGATTTAATATGACTGATATGATATTGCTCTAAATATGCTTAATTCTCCTTGATTCATTGTATATTTACACATTCTCTTTTTACAAAACCATCTATAGAAGCACATATTACTTGGTCTTATCACTCAAAGGCTTTCCACCTACTGACCACTGTATAAGAAACAGAGTAAAAATGCACGGATTTCACTGGTCTTTCACATGTTCACACACACGCTCATAATCCATTTGGGGAACTTGGAAGAATGTTGAGAAAACATGGCCTTTTAATTTTCAGAGCCAAACCTGTTCAATGCGTGGATATACTAGAGTTTTTAAGTTAATTTTGTTACATCTGTCTTAAATAAGGCTTAAGGAAAAAGGAAATGTCTATTAGTTTTTCTATATTTCTTGATCCCATTTGTTTTCCACCTCCTCTACCACCTTTTTAGCCGGACAACCACCATGACTCCTTGTTCCTCAGTCTAATGTTCCAATTGTTTTCTGCATACAATCCCTGCGATTAATTCTCTCCTTTTCATTTCCTGCATCACGGTATGTTAGAATATCGACATCTTAATAAAGTGGTCAGTCTGAAATTGTGAGACAGCATTGAAAGTGGGAAGAAATATTTATGAAAAGAGTCCCAACACTGGCTTGAAATTTGAAGCATATACCTTAAGAAAATAAACTAACGTCCAATTGCTGAAGGATGCTGTCTCTTAAAAATGCACTTTATCTTTTTACAGATGATATTCTTCTTTTTTTTCAACTTCACTATATCAACTGATATATGTTTCAATCAAGGGATAGGTGGCAGGTTGCTCCCAGTTTATATGGTGATAAAAAGACTCATGTTTCTTAATCAATTGAGGATTCATCATGCATACACAGTTCATGCAGTTTTAATTTTTCATCAACTGGTATACATATATATATATATATATGCATCCTCTTCATGCTATATTTATTGGTTTCTCTTTGCTTTCTCATTGGCAGAATATTTATGCTCAAGGTTTGTCTAGATCCTACGCCAGGGTATTATTTCTCTCAACTTTGGTACTCCTCCTGTTCTGGAGTTAGAGATCTAACAGCATCAACCTCTCTCTCTCTCTCATCTCTCACGATAATAAACGGGTTTTGGGGGTTCGGCTGGTTTTTATTCCACCCTGCAGATCAAAATCATACCATCTTATGTAATTGATTGTATTTCATAAAGTAATTTCTAGCAATGAAGAATTTTGTTCCTACTCATGAAATCTGTAATTATTTTTCTGTTGAGAAAATTTTCCTTCTTAATTTTCTTACTTCTCGTATAGTTCATCAGTTTTAATTGCATTTCAAATGATATTAGTGCATGGATAACTATTCAACCGTGATGCTTTATAATGAATAGATGGTCTGTTGCCTTCTCGTACATGACCAAATCAGAAAGTTTTGTCAGCCAGATTCAGATTTTTTTTTTCAATTATTATTCATTTTCAAGATGATATGAGTATGTCCTTAAATTTTTGTTGTTTTAGGCAAAACTCTTAATCTTAATGGCATATATATATTGGCTGAAGCTGTCATGTCTTTAAAAGGTCTGTGACCTGTGCATTGATTCAATTACAATAAGCAATTTGCTTAACAAAGGTAGGACCCAAATTCAGGAACGTTGTACTAGAGTCTTATGTTTTAAAGCTATATGGATTTGTTGAGTTTGAATTATTGCAAGTAACAAAATGCCATGTTTTCACCCCCAAGAGTTCTGGTCTTTTAGCAAAGTCCTATAAACGTAGATTGAGGTTTTATATTGAATATCAAGTCAAGTTCTTTAACTAGTTCCTATATTTAAGACATTTGGAAAGATGTCACAAGATTTTTGGAAATCAGACAAGCTGAGATCCACTTCAAGTTGTTGGTTAATAAATGCGTTGAACACAATTAAATGCAAGTTTCTATTCGAACAATCTGCATATAAAAGCAAATATGAAGTCCAAGACACCTCAAGTTCTAGAAGTACTGGTTCAGATTATAACTCAACTCTCTCACGGCACTGATGTCATGCATTTGTTACAAATCAGGCAATATGATAATTTCCACTTATTATCCCGAAAAAATGTAGTTTTCGTGTGTATGTGTGACAATATATTCTGAAAGCGAAATTATTGGCAGGAGCACAACTGTACAAGTCGTAAGGATACAATTGTGGACATATACGTCTGTTTAAAAATTGATGTGCCAACCAGTGGAAGTTGTTGTGACCTATCAAAAAATGTGAATTAATGTTAAATTGTATTGTGGAAAGCTTTTTTGAAGTTATGGCTGCGCGAACAAAATACAAGAGATAATTACGTGGACAGGCCACCATTTTCCAACATTGACTTTAAAGGCGTACTCCATCACATTTTGGTTTTCCTCTATCTTGGCCTTTCCTGCTCGCCCCTTAAAGATTTAAATCACATCTTCCAATTTCACAGGTAATTAATTAAAGTAAAACTCTTTATCCATCCCTCTTACAGTATCTACTATTACAATATATCTCTAATCACTCTATCAAAATTAAAAAGAGATAATTAAATCGTTGACTTTATGTAAAAGTGAAATAAATTTGTTTTTTTTTATTCCATTATCATTTATCTTAAAAAACTTGAAGGTATTACCGTTACTAGCCTAAAGTAATTTAAACCACCGCTGTGTGGCATCATTTTTACCAATGGTAGCTTCACAGATATTTTAGGATGCTTTTGGTACTTTTATTTAATGAGCTGTATGTATTGAACCTAAAATCCTATTATTTAATTTTACTATCCTTGTGTAATGCATTACATATACTCAAATCTGTGAATGCGTGGGTATTGAGAATTTGAGATTGCTGTTTGTCAATGAATACTATAATTAAAAAACTATGTAATACTTTTTCAGTAGGTTTTCAATTGAAACTTGATAATTTTATTTAGTAAAAATATGACGATTGATATCATTAACAACCCTTAAAAAAAATTACTAAAGTGGAATTCTTCCGTTGAACTTGTGAACGCTTTTTGTATCTCTCCACAGAATGTTCCCTCCAGTAGAACGTGGACGAATTGTTTAACAAGTAATTATCATCATCATCATCATCATCATCATCAATTTGTTTGTAAGAACTTTAATTTATGGGTACACACCCGCGTAACCCGCTCCTCGGAAGATAAAATAAAACGAAGAAGCTTCTGAGAAGTACAGCAATAAGTCATTAAGAAATTAATCTGATCTGAGATTAATAAATTAAAATTGGAAGACGACATTTCACAAGAACAACAAAACAAGTTGGACGCATGCAAAGAAAGGGTCTTCACACGGCATTTGAAAATCTAAATAAATAATTAGTACACTAACATAATATTTTGCAGTTTTGAAGTGTACTCTGTTGAAATATGTGGAACTTCCAGACCCTTGAATCTTGATGAAGGGTTGAAGACTTGACAAATAATAGAAAATAAACCATTTTTTTATCATATTCAAATTTTGTGTCAACATCAGCCTTGTTTTTCCACAAAAGGCAGCTATCAAGCAGCAATTTGTCAAAAACAAAAGTAAACTCAATTCATAAACAATTTTTTATTACAATTACATTGCAATATTAATTTATTCTATTTTTCAAATTTCATACAATTTTTCTTGAATTTTATTATTACAGTATAGTTATATTTTATATCTTTTCAGTACAATTGTCTAGAGTTTGACATTAGACTAATCTGAATGAAAACGTTATTGGCACCAAAAGAGGAGGTAACTCTCCTATAATTCCTATACGAGATTTGAAGTTGAGATCTCATATAAAGTGTCAATTTTCTTGCACTGGACTCGGTTATCATTGGTGTCTTATTTTGCATTCCTAATTTCAGTTCTCACAATATACACAGGCCTCTTCAAAGACAATTTATTGACTAAAAATAATTATTTACTCCTTCAAGGCTATAGTTGGTATCAATAAATTGACATGATATTGGAATTTACTCTCTGCTAAATTATTGTGCTTTATGCTTGCGTGTGATTTTGATATTTTGAAAATTAATTCAATGACAAAGCAAACAAAGATAGATGATGATGTGGATTAAAATTTACAAATTAAACCAACACCACCTTGGCAATGAGTCAAGTATATTTTTTTTATTAGGGTATTTGAGGCTATAGGCAGTAAATAACACCTCTGTTAATTGTCATGTTAGCAAAATCTAACATCCTGAATTATTTTTTTGGCATGATAGTACGTATTACTGAATTTAAAATTTATAAAATTGTGAAAGATCACGTAAATAACTTTTAGAACATAAGGATTGGGTAGAGCTTTGAGAAACATGAGGATAATTTAACATTTACAGAATAATTAATTATACTATGCTAAAATCTGTGTTTCTTCTGGGCTTATATAAAGTGGCGCATGGCTTGTATCAGCAGTGACAAGAGAACTTTAAGAAGAAAGAAGACAAGCATAATGGCGAGAAGCATGAAGGTGACGATGATCCGAGTGGCTATTCTCGCTTTATCGTTGTTTTCTTTCTCAGAAACCGTAGCATCCCAGCAAGTGCTCGTTGTCGGAGGCAGATTGGGGTGGACGATTCCTCCGGCAGGCCCTGCACCCTATGATGCTTGGGCCGCCTCGCACATCTTCATTGTAGGAGACATCCTCGGTAACTATCCTTACAATTTTCTGTTTGTTTCTCGAGAAAACAAACTTCGAATGAATGAATGAATTAATCCTTGCCTTTTTTTTTCTCAGTGTTCAACTTCACGAACGGGGACCAAGACGTGGCACGAGTGACTAGAGAGGCGTTCTTGAGATGCAACACGACCAACCCCATCGAAGTGAAGAAGACGAACCCTGCGAATTTCACGTTGAACAGTACGGGAGATTTCTACTTCACGAGCACATTAGACAGGCACTGCGAGTCAGGTCAAAAGCTAGCAGTACACGTGTTAGCTTCTGGACCATCGCCGAGCTCCCAGCCCAAACCCCGAGGACCACGAAACTTCACCGTCGGCGGCGACTTGGGATGGATCGTTCCTCCAGGTGGTGAAATTGTCTACAAATCTTGGGCTCGCACTAAAACTTTCAGAATCGGAGACGCCCTTGGTAGATAGTTCAACCTATATATATATATATATATATATATAATAACCACAATATATATCTTATGAACGTCACTGGTGAAGTAATCAATGTTTTGCGCTGCAGAGTTCTTGTTCATCAATGGAACCCAAGATGTTGCAGAGGTGAGGAAGGAAGATTATGAGAAATGTCAGACAAATAGCAGCATAGCAGTTTACTCGAGTAGTCCGGTGAGGATCGTGTTGAACACAACGGGGGAGCATTTCTACACGAGCACATACCTTGATCACTGTGCCTTGGGACAGAAGCTAGCCATTAACGTCACTTCCAATACTTCTTCTTCTTCTTCCTCCTCCTCTGGGTCTGCTTTCTCTCCTGAAGGTGCTATGCCTCCGTCTACCCCAGGAAGCTCAGCCACTAGGGTTGTCTCCGCATATATGCCAGCCTTCGTAGTCATTGCCTTGGCTTTCTTCCACTTTTGATATTGATTGGTGATACCACAGAATTACAGATTATTTGACACGTGGAGGTTTCTTTTTGTTTTCTGCGTTTATATCAGGTGAGATCACATGTGTATACTATATAGTTGTTGCATTTACTTACAGTGAGATTTTAGATCCATTCATTGGATTCATCATTTGATTATAATTTATTGTTACTATGATGTGTGTTTGGATTTTGAATAGGCCAGATTGGCTACTCCTCCTTATCTTAGATGTAATAAATCCTGTGATTCTACATATTATAGATAACAGAGTTAATTTTTTCATTGTATTGATGATTATCTTCTGCAAAAACTTTTCACCATGCCTATGCATACGCATTTGCGCACTATATTTCAAATGAATTTGAATTCAATGACTGTATTTAGTATAAGCACTCCTGTACTATTTGAATTGTTAAAATCCATATCAATGATTCTGAATTTACACAAAACTGATGTTAGTATTAATAATATTTTAGTTTTGACAAGGTGAGAGCCTAATGTTATATCCCACATCGAAAAGAATTTGAGACAGTTCTAATTATATAAGCAAGTGCACTGCATATCCAAATAAGCTAGCTTTTTAAAAAGAGAATAATAGCCTAATGATAAAGTGTTATTAGTGAGTCTCTCTAGTGGGCTACTAATGACAAGGGCACCACGAATTGGCTTGAGAAGTTGTTATGCCTCACATTGAAGAGATTTGGAGAAAATCCTCACTATATAAGCGGATATGTTGCACATTTTATAAACTAGTTTTTTAGAGAGAAAGTAATGGCCTGTGACATAGAGGTAGCTAGAATATAATAAGTGTTTAGTTTAAATTTTTTGGGTAAATAGTTTTAAACTGCTTTGATCTAACTAAAAAAGGCATATTTTAATCTAGCTATATAGAGGAAAAATTATATTTATTTATAATTAATAAAATTATAACAATAATTTTTAAAGAAACATGCAGCGCGCATATATATAGAAGAAGGAGAAGGTAATCAAAAGTGAGGGCTTCTCTCTCTAGATTCTTCTAGATAGTCAACACATATGACGATGAAAAATAAAAAAAATAAAAATATATTTAATAAGAAAATGAGATCGATGAATGTCTCATTTTAAAAAAAAGTTCTTTTTTTCCTATTAAACATTACATAAAGATTTAAAAAAAAAAGAAAATGCATTGGATGATCTATATAGTTCATAATAACATCAAAACCCAAAGAAAGTTTGATGAAGTCCAAAATATTAACATGGAGATTTTGAATAGAGACTTGACAGATCAATCGACATATTTATTTTGGCTTCCCTTTGTCGACGATCCGAAATAAAGTTCCAATCTCTTGAAATCATATGCTTAATATATCATCAATCAGGCTTGATCACTCGAAGACAAGCGGTATTTTCTCTATTCTAATGATCATGTTAGTATTGGTTTTCATCGATGGCTTGATCATCACAATCTCTTTGAGGACGACCTAATGACTTTTATATGTTAAAACTTGGGAGGAAAATCCTGCGAGTTGGCGTTAGCAATTGAAATCTGCATAATTATTAAATACCTAAGGTATGAAGTTAGGGGTAGTTGAGATTTTTTTTTAAAAAAAAATAGAGGTGCAAGAGAATTAAAAATTATAATTATAAACAAGGAAAGGATATAAGGACACATCATCAACTTCATTTTCCAACACATGCCTTGTGCAATTCTTCTTTGGGGAAAATCATACATGATTGACCTTAGTTTTGATGCTAATTTTAAAAGCTATGGCTATTGGCTATTGGGGAGGGTGTAATTTCTTTACTTCATCATACCAACATCCAAATGCCATGCTTTGATTGATTCCATCCCAATGCCAAATCTTACTCCTTTCCTAATTTTCAAACTTCAAGAGGCATCTAGTGCCTTTATTTCTTCGCTTTTCACCATCGCACATCGTTTTACTGTCGACAAATTCTTCTCTCTCTCTCTCTCTGTTTTTTTTTTTAATCCTTTCAACTATTCGTTATCGTTATCGTCCTTAAATGTCCAACATAGAATATAATTAAGGTTGTTTCTCGAAGTTATACATATTGATATTTTCACTTTTTCTCATTAATTAATAATTTATCGCTGATAATTATATATGATGGGCACCTATAAGTTAAAGTTTGGGTATTATCCTTTTCTGTCCTCAATGTAAGAAATTTTAATCCTAAAATGTAAGACACAAATCTCATCACCTGATCTTATATTAGAGGGAAGTAAAAAAAATATGCATTCTTATTCCCATTTCAAATTATGCGAAGGAAACCATCTTTCTCTTTTTAAACGTTGAAAAGAACTTAACTAAGTCGTACAATTTAATACTGACTAATTAATAATTAATACCGTTTGAAGTTTGAATTTTACAAATAAAAGTATCATAAAGAAAATTTTACACCCATTTGAATTACAATCCAATTTAAATTAAAATCAATCGAACTTTAGAAAATCCGAAGGCATTCAACCAAAAAATTAAATAAACATGATCCTTGTCAACTTAGCAAATTTCCCATATTTTGTGTCTATATTTTTTTAAAAACTAAATTGAAAAAAAAATAGCTTAAAAAGGACGAGAGTTAAATGGGCTATAAATCCTCCCCCCAGTCGCTTAGTCCGAAGAACATGTCCATTGGGCTTAAGACCTTATTAGGCCATTCTCGTGTGAAAGTCCAAATGATGACTTTTGCTTTTAACTTTTTTAAAAAAAAAAATAATAAATTGCGGGTCTTTCTATTTTTTTATTTTAAACTAGGGCATTGTAACTAATTTTAATTAGGTCCTTACAGTTTTATTGATTAAATATATTAATATCTAAATATTAAAGTATATGAAAAATTTTATTTTATAATAGAAATTAAAATTTTTTATGTTTTTATTAAAAGATTCTATAACTCTGCAATAAATTACATATTTTTTACTACTCACAATTTATGTAGTTAGATTATGTTTTTTTGAATGTCTTATACACATACACACTTTTCATAAAAAATTGATAAAAATATAAACATTGTATTAAATCAATTTTTTTAGCTAAAAGTATTAAATCAATTTTTCTATAAATTTTAAAAGCATATTTGTTTTAAAAATTAATAATTTATCAATAAGTTTAACCTTCAAAGATTAATATATTTAATCTATCAAACTATGAAGACTTGATTAATATATAATAAGCTACAGGAATCTAATTAAAAATTGTTTTAAAAAAGAGAAGATTTTTCTTTGCAATATAGCCACGAATGGATGCGAAAAATTTTGTTTTAAGTTTTTTATCATTATAATATATGATTTAGAATAAGACGTTACATGGCCAAAAAAAAAAAGAAATAAGACGTTACAGAAAAAGAAAGAAATCAAGGAAACGTTAAATTAGACATTAACATAAAATATTTCTTAGTTTTCTTTTCAAAAAAGACTGTTGGGTATTTGCCCATTTATTCTTTGTCCGATAATACAAACCAAGTCATCAATAAATTAATTTTTCAGGTGATATGAATCACAACTCAATTTTAAACAATAATAAAAATTTCGCAGAGAAAGTTCAAAGAAAGCATGTTACAATTTACATCTTTATGAACATATATTTAAAAAAAAAAAAGAGTCGCAGAAGCTAGAGGTTAAAATAGTCAAGGGACATTTAATTTTAACATATAGACATGGAAACGTCATTCCATCGTAGAGGTTAACTTGTTTGACCCAGGCAAGAAAAACACAAGTAAGAATTATAATTAACGTGTCATACCCTTGATTCACGATCTATAAATTAGATTAACCCAAAAAACAAAAAAAAAGAAACAAAAAAACAGATTAGCTTCCACACTAGCTATCTAAAATCTTAAATCACAATTCGCGTTAATATCCTGACGTTGATAAATTTCAAAAGTCTTGGTTATCATGTTCTCGTGTTAAACTTTTACATCATCAAATTTCTCAGTGTTACTGTTCAAAGAAGCAACCTCGAACTTGTAAACGACGCGGTGTTATTTTGTTTTACTTGTCCCTTACACATATTATAAAAATTAAATGTGCACTATTAGGTTCAAAATGATTTTGCAATTCAACTCTGGCTCTCATTTTTTATGGTCAAGTCATATTCACCTCTCTACGCGCCTAATAGCTTCAAATAAAAGTCGAACGAAAGACAGATTAAATGAACATCTGTGATTTATATCAACTCAAAATGCATTTGAAAGCAATGCGTTTGATAGAATCTTCTGAAAGAAATGGTGTAATTGGTCGTACTTCCTAGATTACAAAATATAAATAGAATATAGAAGAACGTCTTCTAGAATAGAAGAACAATCAAAATGCCCAGTGCCATTAATAATTTCTAGAACCCGAAAATATCGGACCCAAAAATAAAAAATCCAAAATAAATTAACCCGATTAATTACTAGGCAGGCAGAAATTAAACTCGTTCAACAATGGTACCTGATCTCATCATTGACAAATCTTAATTCCCAATGAGATGAGAAAGCTCCATCCTGATCCTATATATATGTTGTTTGCTCCAAGCTCACAATCTCATCGTCTTGAACCTGCAAATTAGAAGCACATCAGAGTTTCAAGAAACAACCGACAACCTGCGCAACAAAGATTGCTAAACAATGGCCAAGCACATGGGTTTGATAGGCTGCTCCATCGTCGTTGTGCTGTCTTTATTATTTGCAGCATCCGAGGCGGCACGATACAACGTTGGCGACAGCTTTGGCTGGAGCGTCCCTCCCAATGAGACCTTCTATTCAGACTGGGCTAGCTCCAAGACCTTCATCGTTGGAGACACTCTTGGTATGCTTCATGTTTATTTATTTATCTTTTTCCAACATTCTTTCTTTTCTAGCTAGCAGCCTATATTTACTAATTTTTCTTTTTAAAATGACGATTATGTACTTCATGAACCATGTTAGTAGACAAGTGTACAGGGCACTTCATATTGGTATGGGTATATAGACTTCTAAATTGCTAAAAGAATACAACACATTGGATTTGAAGTGCGTCGTCTTTTTCACTGTCCTTTAACGCTTAAAATCTCAGCTCTCCATTTCATTTAATGGTCAGAAAAATTTCATCTAATTTCTTAAATGAAAGGCTGAGATTTTGGACATTAGAAGGGCAGCAGACGCCCAAATCCCAACACCGTTACTTTCTTCTATGCTCTATTTTTATCACAAGACATCTTAACATTAAAAGAAGTACATGCATGATTCTTATTATAATCAAGTACTAGCTAGTAACTAGATTTTTTATATTATCCTTATTTAAAATCATTAACTATAAGAAAGAATCTAACGTAAATTTTAAATTTTTTCAGCATTCTCTTTTCAATATATAATGCATGGGTTTAAATACGGAAAAAATAATAATTTTTTAATTTTAAAATAAAGGCAATGACTTAATTACTTCATATTAATTTTAGTTCAATAAGTTGGATTAGATGGCATGCTCACTGCGGTTTTATACACGCATAGATTCTTTGATCACGTGGCGGTGGTTCCATGATAGTAATAATTAATCATTAAATGATGTGTTCTTCTGGTGTTTGTGGTGAATGGATCAGTGTTCAACTGGACTGGAAACCAGAACGTGGCTGATGTACCAATGGCGGATTACAAAAACTGCAGCACCGACGCGATCACGTTCACCGGAAGTCCGAACAGGACGGTGTTTATGATTACTCTGTTGTATCCTGGGCCTCGCTACTTCATCTGCACCGTCGACGATCACTGTGCAAGAGGCCAGAAGTTCAGTATCAACGTTGAGTGGCCATTCTCTTCCGGTCCTTCTCCTTCAGCTCGACCACCATCTTATTCTTCTGCTCCGTCTCCATCTTTTGGGGTCTAATTAGTTCTCAGTATTTCTCTCCAGTTAATTAGACTATGGCCGTCTATTTAATTTCTTCACCCGCATTTAGGTTATATATTTTATAGTTTATTTCAATAAATAATGGATGTACTGATACGTGGGTGTATATATAGTTTGAGAATATTATGTTATGTTAAATAAAGCAGTTGGTTGTGATTCTTGAGGCTAGCGAGCAAGAGAGAAGAACTACTTCAGAATTTGTAGTTTGCATGCAATTTTAAAGTCCTCGATTCACTAAACTTGAACCCAAAAAATAATGACATGCAAACTCATTAGTGTAAATCGGTGCCTCATGAGTGAGTTTTGCTCTTTAACACATATTACCAGATATGAGCAGCTGTATACAATATGTATATCTGATTACATTTTGCTACAAATTCTTATAAATCTCAGCTCTGAGGTGAAAGACCTAAGGAAAAAAAAAATCACATCTTTCTTTCTTTGTTTTTTTTTTGGCCAAAAAAATCTTATATTCAACACACGAGAGAAATATACATGATAGTGATAACCATGCAACTTGATCAGTGAACAATGCCTAAAAAAAAGGTGCCTAAAGCCATAGTCCATACACACATTTTATGACGCAAAGTGGGAGTAAATTACATATGGAAGTGGATATATTCAAGCAAGCGTCATATATATTCTCAAATGAGAATGAATTACACACATTTTGTCTATCACTCCCAAAACATGACACAAAATATAAAATTTAAACAAAAAAAAAAGTCCATAGTCCATAGCCCATGCACATTTGAAGCAAAAAAAAAAAAAGTTGATGGGATATGAAAAATGAGAAAGTCACTAAAAGCTAATCATGTGAGTGTGGCACAGTGACTATCTCTTTTCGTTCTTCAAGCATGTAATGGGAGATATGATTCCTCGCTTATGTGAATGGAGATAACTCTATGATCAATCATTTATTTTTTTGTGAGAGATTCCACGATGAAGGAATTAATTATTACTAGATACCTTGGCCAACAAAAAAAAAGAAGTCACTAAAGGCCCAGCCCAAGAACAGATGGAGAGTCAAAAAAATTGCAATGGTATTCCCCGCCTTTTCCCACTCCCTTTCCCTCACTTTCCAATCCTAATCGGACTACTCAACCTGCCCCGACCTGCGTTACTCCCACTCCATCGTCACTCTCTCAGGTTCGTAGCCTTAGCCCTCTGTTTGACTCGAAATTTCGTGGTTAAGTCCTTTAGCGCTCCATATATTCGATTATTTCATAGCTTCGTAGAAATACTTTATTGAGTTACGCTCTCCAAATCAATCGGTAGTGTACCAGAAATTGGCGTACAAGTTGGATTATTCTCTGTTAGATCATAACAATTTTTTGCGCGCATCACAATTTTCGTTCATCCGTCGAATGTTGCAGCAAAATAAAATTAGTTTGTGCGTTCTTACTATTAAATGGCAAGGTACCTTTCATTGTTATCCCGACAGTATGATTTCTCGCATTGATGTTCTTCGCTTCTTTTTTTTTTTTTCACTTTTCCCTTTTTATGCTCCCTTCTCTTAATGCCTTAGTGTTGATTAGATTTTAATCATATAAATAAGAAAGGGGGCGTTGATGAAGCTCTGCTTCTTCATTATGATTCAACTCCAAATATAATATTTGTACGTGGATCGTTTGCATGAAACTTTTGGAGATGAAAATCTGTAGTGAAAGCCGTGATGTCGACATTCCTTAACTAGGTTATGAATCTGATTATGTTTAATGTTTTTATATTGGAGTTTTAGGCACTTGTCTGAAACTCCATAGTCAAATAATGGTACTCCCTTTGACTAAACAAGTAGATTCCGACCAGTTTAATTTTCTAGATTGTTACATTTAATGGTGGATAAGCCCTGAATGTACTTGTAATAAAATATCGTGATGTACATGTAACTGCCATTGCGTTATAATTTATTAATGTATCAATTTACCATCAACCTGAAAGCCAGACTTCTATTTTGTCCATTAAGGGGAAGCTGGCTTCTGATCTCAGCTTCTCATTACTTCTATTCAGCTGCCGCTCTTTTATTCCATTCATCGCTTTAAATGTATCATACCGATTACTGACATATTTTATGTACTATTTTCTCAGGAGTGGTGACAGTAGGAAAACGAATCATGGACAGTTTAGTGACGTCACCTGATTCTTGTAAGCTTTGCAGACATGATGTGATTGACAAAAAAGAGGTGATTAGCAAATTACCTGATAGCCTTCTTCATCACATTCTTTCTTTTCTCTCAACCATAGATGCCATTCGAACCTCCGTATTAGCAAGAAGGTGGAAGTTCTTATGGACATACTTATCTGACTTTAATATTGAAGTCATGCTGTCAAGTTCCCAAAAGAACGAAACTCAAAAGCAGATGATAAATTACCTTTTCAATCAAGTAGACACAATACTTGAAAAAGCCAAATTTATAAAAAAGTTTCGTTTTGTGGCATATGGAATTCCTGTTGATGTCGACCAAGCTAATTCTTGGATCTTTGCTTTGCTAAAGCATAAAATTCAGGAGTTGGAGCTGTCCTTATATCTAAGATCTTCCTTTCCGCTAGCCAATACCTTGCCAGTCCCTACCTCATTGAGTATGATGAATCTGGAGTTTGGATGTGTATTAAAAGTCCCTACTTGCATCCATTTCCCAAGCTTGAAGACCCTGACACTTCAATACATAACCTTCATAGACAAAACATCCGCCCAACAACTTTTCTCTAGCTGCCCAGTCCTCCAAAAGCTGACCTTGTGTAGTTGTGACTGGAAGAATGTCAGGAATGTCAGCATAAAAATTCCGACCTTGACAACCTTAATCATTGAGGACGACTTTAGTCGAGATGATTTACTCAATTGTAAAGTTACAATCGATGCCATAAATCTTGTTTCTTTAAGTTGCACAAACTATTTGAGCATAGAATTTATCCTAATTAACTTAACTACCTTGGCTTATGCATACATTGATGTCTCAAATGGCTGTTCATCCTTGGCACAATATGCTATTTCTCGGGCAGTAGAACTTTTAAGTGGAATCTGTCATGTCAAGTCTCTCGTACTCTCAAAAGATACTCTTGAGGTATGTCTACAATGATACAATCCCCCTCCATTCACTTTAATGTTCATGTGGGAGCTATGAACAATATTGCTTTACATGGGTTCTCCAATGATGTTTCAAGTTTCCTTTGAATGACAGTAATCAACAGTTTTTATTTTATTTCGTAGATTCTTTCACGCGCAGAAAATCTCCTTATGCGCCTTCCTACATTCCATAATTTGATTCATTTTAGTGTGGATCAAGGAATGTATGACTTCACTGGCGGAGCTCTGATGGACATTCTTGAAAAGTTTCCTAATCTGGAAGTTCTTGACATTGTTGATGTACATCCTGTATTATTATGAATTTGATGTTTCAAGGCTAAAAATAGTGTAATTTCCGTTCATGAACTTGTTTGTTGGCTCTATATTTAGGGATTCGACCCTGATTTCTGCTTGGATGGGGAAGCTTGGACGTTGAGCACAGTGCCTCATTGTTTAAAATCTAGTCTGAAACTGGTTAGCGTTTGGAATTTTTTTGGTGAGGTGGCTGAGATGCAATTGCTTGGCTTTCTGTTGAAACATGCGACCAAATTGAGGAGAATCAAGATGTTCTTTGTGGGGTGCTTGTCAGCAGATTTAAAGAAGCAAGCAGATATCAGCAATCAATTGCAAGTAATGCGTAAAGGCTTGGCAAGCTGTGCAGTTGAGTTACGGTAAAGCTGAGCAGAAATTCTGAATCAAGGATTTCCTTTTTTTTTTTTTTTAATTGGGTGATTTCAGTGTTCCGGAATGGACTCAAATCACTAAAGGGCCTTTAGTCTTGGGCTGTGCTTTTTCTGGGTACTTTCATTGGGCTTGATCTCATGTGATATGATGATTATGATCAAATTTGAAATTTAGAAAATGTGTACACAAAAAAAGACAGTTTTCTGAGTCTTGAAAAACCACCATTTTAGACAAATATTTCAATATTAGATTAAAAATATTGATAGTAAGAAATTAAAAAAAAAAACTGACTGTTCATACATTACTAAGTTGTTCGGGAACATTTTTTTACAAGAGGTTAATAATGCGAATATTAAAATGTATTTGGGTATTGTGAAATATCTCATGCTTATTACACTTACATATGATCCTATGTGTGAGGTGAGTTTTTAATTTCAAACCATGGTTATTTTAACATTAATGCTGCCAAATTAGTTTACCAAATTTTTTTTAATGTCATATCACATGTTCAAATATATCAAAGATTGTATATATTTGATATTTTACTGTGTATTGAATATGATTGCTTCCAATAATAGAATATTTATGAATGATAAAAAAATACTAACCATAATATTTAATAAGAAATGTTTTGATCCTCGATAGGCCAAAAAGTATTTGTATTCCCTCTTGATTTAGTGTTCTACTTTGCTTCTTTCCCAAATGAGCCAGGAAAATTATCTTCTGGCTTCAGTTAAGTATAGCATTTTTAAAATATATATATATATATATTATATAACATAATTCAAAACCATTTGCAAAGAATCTGTATCCATATTACTTCCTTTGGTTTTATTTATAGAGTAGAGAGAGAAATTTTTTTGTTCTATTTATAAGTTATATTAAATTTTCATCATAAATTTTTTTTACCCTCCATTAACTGTTGGAGAGAGAAAATATGTTATTGAAATGTATATATTTAATAGGAGTAAAGTTAAGAACTTATTAAATTTCAAAATAAAGTTAATAAGTTTTAAGAATTTTTTTAATACTAATAAAACATATTAAAAATAACTTACAAATTAAACTAGGGGAGTGTGACTGAAATGGAAGAGTAAGCCGTTGAAGCAACTAGCTTATCTAAAATATGTTCAAAAGCTTTTACCAAAAAAAAAAAAGTTCAAAAGCAACCTCCCCATCTTTAGAAATAAAACTTGTCTTGATCTTTCTAGCAGCCTAAATAATGCTACTAAACTAGTTTGAAAAATTAGGGATGAGGATGTGAATAGAAACTAATCCCAACAATATATATGCATACATAATAAAATTTATAACAAGCTCCGTTATAGACAAAATGTATTCATATAAAACTAAACTATACATATATATATATATATATATATTCTTTGATTATATTAATAAATTACTTTCATTATGTTTCATCAAAATTAAAAAAAAATTAAATTTCATTAACTATATTAAAATTTAATAAATTTTTACCTTGACAAAAAAAATTATTTTTAATAAAAAATTTAGTATTTAATAAGAGAAAAAATGTAAAAATAAACATAAAAAATAATAAAATATTTTATAAATAAAATTAAAATTAATCTTCTTTCTAACGTATAAATAGAATCAATAGTAAATGCAGCTATAATGATTGACTTGTCCGCCGCCCAGGTACATTTTAACTTACGGCTTGGGGAAAGTCAATCACTCGTAAGGATTAACATGTTTGGCGCCCACCAGAAAAAAATAAAAAAAGAAAAGAAAAAAAGTCAAGATTGAACCTCGAAAATACCCCTAACTATGATTCACGGCGTATACTAGACTTTTGAAAAAGAATAGCATTCCCATCGTCTCTCTAAAATGTTTGATCATAGATCTTAACATTCCAAACATTGACCATTTTCAAAAGTCTTGGGTGCCCTGAAAATCGCCGCCTTGCCATGGCCTTCTTCATCTTCAATTTCATCTGCGTTTATTAGTTCAAAGAAGCAACCAGCTCGAATTCCCAAACGACAACGGCATTACCATGTGACCCCTCCTTCCCATATTCCTATAATTAAACTGTAGACTCCAAGTTCAAGTTTTTTTCTTATTCAGCACGGAATTCAATTATCTGTTCTCATTTTTTTTAATAATTAAATCATTCCCGCTAGTATGTAACCAAACAAAAAAAATATCTGGTTGAACCTTTTTTTTTTAAAAAAAATTTAATCATCACCTTCTCACACCCAGTAACTTCAAATAAAACCAGAACTGCCCATATGAATATGGGATTACAGAAAGGACCGCCTCCTTAGAATAGAAGAATAGTCAAGTTGCCTCTCCGTGTCTCATTGATCTACAGCACGTAATAAACTTCATCCCGTTTTACCAAATATGCTTAAATTCGTTCAAAAATGGTACCTCATCATCATTGACAATTCTTAGTTCCCAATAAGCAAGGGAGCCCCATCCCACACCTATATATATGTTGTCGTTAGCTGCAATCTCAATATCCCAACCCATCGTCTTAAGCAGCAACTAAACTTGAGAACAGCAGTTTCAAGATACAGTCAAAACACCTGCGTAACAAAGAAGAATGGCCAAACGCACTAACTTGATAGGTTGCTCCATCATTGTACTGTCTTTATTATTTGCAGCAACAGAGGCAACACAGTACAGTGTTGGTGGCAGCTTTGGCTGGGACATCCCTCCCAATCAGACCTTCTATTCAGAATGGGCTAGCTCCAAGACCTTCTTCGTTGGAGACTCACTGGGTATGCTTTTATATTAGTTTAATTTGATCTTTCACCCGCATTCATTTTGTTTCTGAGCTATAAAAACATTAAAACCTTCATAATAATGATGACTCTCAAAGCATCTATTTACTGCAACTTTTTCATGTAAAATGTTAAGACACTCGTGTGGAAGCTTTTCACTCGTGTTTATGACTTATAAAACAAAGACACACAACACTACATGCATGTTTATGATATGTCGGCATTATTATATTGATGTTTTTCTTCTCTTTCTCCTGAATCAATCAGTGTTCAACTGGACTGGAAACCAGAACGTGGCGGATGTAACAATGGCTGACTACAACAACTGCAGCGCCGCTAGCTCTTTCACCGGTCCCGAGAGCGGGACAGCGTTTAGGATTACTCTGGTTCGTCCAGGGCCTCACTACTACATCTGCACCGTCGATGATCATTGTGCAAGAGGCCAGAAATTCAGTATCAACGTTGAGTGGCCATTCTCTGCTGGTCCTTCAGCTCAACCTCCTCCCGTGAATTCTGCTCCAATCCTGTCTTATCGCATCTTGTCTGCATTTCTCTCCACCATGGCTGTCTATTTCTTCAGCCGCATCTAGATTTATAGTGATTCAGATAATTAGAGGCCAGACGAGTTCTTTGTAATGTTCGTTAAATTAATGTCTAATTCTTCCATATGTTGAGTGTTTTTCTGGCTAGTTTCAATAATGGATGTACTGCTATGAGAAGTTTGAGAACTTAAAAGTTCAATAAAGCAGTTGACATTACTTGATTGTGGTTCTGATTGATGAAAATAGGAAGTTGTCTTCAGATTTCGCAATTTCCATGCAGTTATTACCGCTGGGTGTCTGAATCTGAACCGGAAAATTAGTGGCATGCATGAGCACTCGTTGATATAATTTGATACCTTATTATGACATGTAAAACTGCAAACTAAAATGAATTTTTCCAAGAAAATTTCTCAGAAGTCTCAGCCCCATGTGACTATTAACCCTTAAAAACCAAGAGTTGAATTTAGGAAAAGTAAGCGTCACGGTTAAGATTGTAGTTGTCATTATTCATAATAAAAGTTGTTATTTATTATGCTGAATTTGTCATTAAGATCTAATAACTGAAACCAAGTTGTTATTTATGAAAAGCAGTTGTTACCGCTAAACTTACAATTATCATTATCAGTTATAATCAAAGTTGTAAATTATTCCATGAAACTTGTCAATAAACTCTAGCGTAATTAATATCAAAAAAGGATCTAAAAACTCCAGTGTAATCAGTTCCTGTTATAACACTTAGATGTCAATACCCTGTTTCAGTAGTTCTGATAAGCCATTCTCTCCTTTCTTTAATCATCTTCACGTCCTCAGACCCAATAAATAACTTCAAATAAAACCAGAACAAAAGATATGAATATGTGATGTTTATCGTACTCAATGCATTTGTATGTAGCAATGTGTTAATAGAATCGACCTGGTCAAGTAAATTTGGTCGCACTGCCCATATGATGACAAAATTTGGGATTAAAAAAAAAGAAACGCTTTTTCGGCCAAAAAAGAGACGTCTTTGAATAGAAGAATAGTCAAAATACCCGGGTTTCATCTACAGCACCTAATAAAATTATAACCAAAAATGCTGACTCGTTCAAAAATGGCACCTTAGAGTGCGCGCGCGCGCGCGCGCGTCTATATATAGTTTGCTGCAACCTCTCAATCTCCTCATCTTGAAGCAGCAACATAACTTGAACGTTCAACAGAGTTTCAAGATATAACCAACCAACTACGCAACAAAGAGAAGAACAATGGCAAAACACACTGGCTTGATAGGTTGCTCCATGTTCATACTGTCTTTATTATTTGCAGCAACAGAGGCAACAGAGTACAATGTTGGTGGCAGCTTTGGATGGAATACCCCTCCGAATCAGACCTTCTATTCAGACTGGGCTAGCTCCAAGACCTTCTTCGTTGGCGACTCACTGGGTATGCTTTCTATATATATATATATATATATATCTATTTAAAAATATTTCACCACCACGCATCTTGTTTGAGGTATCAGAACATTAAAGCCGTCACACGATGACTGACAAAGCAGATGTATTTTCAACCTCTTTTTCTTGACGTTACTTCACGGAAAATGTTAGACTCTCGTATGGATGTCTTCCGCTCGTGTTTAGGATTTATAAAACCAGGACACACTGCATTTCATGCAAGTTAAAACGCCACATGTTTGTAATATGTACGGATTATTGACGTTTTTTCTTTTCTATCTCTTGAATCTGTCAGTGTTCAACTTGACTGAAAACCAGAATTTTGCCGATGTAACAATGGCCGATTACAACAGCTGCAGCACCAACACGGACCCATTCGCGGGCAACGGTCCGAGCAGGATAGTGTTTACAGTTGATCTCTTGCATCCAGGGCCTCGCTACTTCATTAGCACCGTCGATAATCACTGTGCAAGAGGCCAGAAGTTCAGCATCAACGTTGAGAAGCCATTCTCTTTTGGTCCCTCTCCTTCAGCGACACCACCTTCCATTAATTCTGCCTTGTCTGCATTCCTCTCCACCATTGCTGTCTATTTCTTCACCCGCATCTAGGTTTATGGTGATTCATATAATTAGACACCAGAAGTGGTCTTTGTATTCGTTGAATTAAGAGAAAATAACAACAACTAACCAAAATTTATTTTAGTCAAGAATCACTTATTGTTAAAACTCAAATGATACTTATTCATTTAAGTTAATCTTTTATCAACAAGTATACATTCGAGTTTTAATAACTCATTTTAAATTGATAACAATCCATTCAAACTTTGACAACTGATTTTAAATTGATATAAATTTTAATTGGTGATCTTGATTGCTATTTTCCTTTAAATTAATGTCTAATTCTTTGATGTGTTCAGTGTTCTTCGAATTTCATTAATGGATGTACCGCTATAAGGAAGATTGAGAACTCAAGTTTGATAAAACAGTTGATCACTTGACTGTGATTCATGAAACTGGAAAGAAGTTGGCTTCAGTATCACATACCATGACCATTTTCAACACCATCTAATCACAACCCAAAGAGAGTAGAGATGAATAAAAAATAAAAAAATGGATTTTATACAAAACCATGTGTTTTACTGTCCCTTTCTCTTAAATTCTCAAGACAGCAAACTTCCGCAGAGAATGTAAATTGGTCCATTTTCAAAATGGGGTATCGATCCTTCAGCGTTGCCTTTTACGCCTCTCCTGGATCCATTGTTAGTAGTAGTTACTCGATTGACAAAAACGACATTTATTGTCCCTCTCGTAATTAATTGTCTTTCTCTGTTTGATAAAGACTGATCAAGGGTCGTCAACTGTACTGGTACATGCATAATGCTCTTAACCCCACCAAGGAAGGACACCGCTCTTCGTAGATACAGCCACATTTAGCATACTCAATAAAATGCTGTAGAGGCTAATGCAACTCACAATGCGGCCTCCGAATGTAAAATTATACCCATTGCATTTTAATTCCTCAGAACAAATGTAAATTGATCCCACTTTAAGGGATTATCTCAGTACGTGTGTCACAAGTTACAAATTTTGAGAGACTAATTTGGATAAGAAAATAAATCTAAGGACTATACGTTTTCAATTATCAAATAGTATATTTACACAAAAAGTCAATTCTCAAAATGTTGGGACCAAAAGCTCTACGCAGTTAATCCCTCAAGAGCCATTTCAGGTTCTTGTCAATTCATTGAAACATTGTCTAAAAACCACCAGACTTGATCAAACATACTTTAATCAGACTGAATGTTAAGTGTCAATACCAAGTGATGCTGTTGACTGCCTGTGGTCCAAAGCAAGGTTCGGGCATGGACATTGAATAGCCACAAAAGCTGGAAAAAAAATTCTAACATTGGTTAAGTACCAAACCCTTCATCTCCTCCTACTGATTTCCCAGCAGAAGACCAACGATTGTGCCCCCAACCGATTTATTTAAGGTGGGCTTTTGATGAATAAGAAGGATAAGATCAAAATTTCATAACATTTTCATGTCTACTAGGTCTGTTTTATTTGCCTCCAGATGCAATTTTCATGCCTTCATTCAAAAATTGTCATCTGCAGCTAGAGCTGATCATGTTTCGATCGGCAACATAACTCAATCGTAGGGTAATCCATAACTACTTGGCGACTGAAAAAACAATACAGGGCATGCCCCTAACGTATCTGCAATATTAAGCTGTCATACGCCTTCCATGCATTAAATATGATCTTTTCAATTTTCACTCTTGATCGTGAGTTAACAAGATATTTAAAAAAGAAAGATAAGGTCTTATTTACAATTCACATTTGCGGCAATGCATTCGGCAACTCATTGTCAACTTCTAAGATTTTTCACAAACAGGGCTACATATATAGAGAGTCTACATAAGTGGATTCAGCAGCATCTAAGATCATCTCGAATTGCAAAAGCATATATGCTACAACAGGAAAAGACTGTCTACAAACCTGGCCCCTGGCTTCTCTCAGGAATCTGGTTGGATGGGACTCCTAGCTGCCGGCAAAATTGTCCATCATCCCCCTCATTGTTAAATAAAGGAGCCTTGCGCTTCCGAGAAGTTGCCTCCAAGTTCTGATATTCACCCTCTGTATTGCATCTTGTATAACTGCAGTCAAAGGTATTGAAACCCGTCCCTTTAGGATAAAAGCAAACCTCCTTATTTGTCTGCAAAGACAGATGACTATACTTGTTGACCTCCTGAGAACTTCTTAAACTAACACAGCCAACATCTTCAGTTTCACGTGCTGAACTTTTGTCTCTGTTGGAACACGGATGCAAACTCAGACCCAGTCTCAAAGATAAATCACATTCCCTCTCAGGTGGCGTCTCCTGAATCTCAGCATATTGGGATCTGCTATAGGAGAGTTTTTGCAATTGACCAAAACTGGCTGGCTCTGGGATCGGCGTGATAATCGGTGTGCCAACAAAGATTTGATCAGATGATGTGTTTTCTGAGGTCATCTTTAGCCCAGGTTGTTTGGATTCATACTGAGTTCCATAATACAAGGGATAAACAGAACCCAAATTCATAGATGGGTTGGTTTCCATTGTCAATTGTTGGTGACGTGCAGCAGGAAAAGTATCTGAGGAGGGATAGTTACATGAGCCCATCAACCGATGATTTTGCTGCGCAAGCTTACCAGAATCCGATATGGGAAGTGCTGAAACAGCAACCTGAGACTTTGCTAAGTCTAACGGATTGCCAGACTGAAGAGTTGAAAACTGAGGGCGTAGTTCCACAACAGCCTTAGGAGATCCAGGAGCTGGTTCTTGCGCTCTTGGGGATAGGTAAGTTCTGGGGTTATTGTGCCTTTCGCTTCTTGAAGCTCTTACAGGTTTGCAGCCCAGGTTAAGTGCAGCTGAGAAGAGAACATTCATCACTAGGAGCTCAAATTTACTAATATTTAGTAAACATTCGTTTTCAAATGACATAAAAATCTAACACGGCATAGTCCCAACTTTGATAAAAACTGATTCAGAACGTTCGAGAACTGGATCCGGAGAAATGTCAAGAAGGAAAATAATACCTTCAACACACGGAGGCAAAAGCTCTCCCGTTTCAGTACTCTCATCTCTCCGTATGATAGTGTTAATGGCATCATTCAAGCGCTCCCAGAGCGTATCAGGATTCAAATACTCTGCCTAAGCAGCCAAATTATGAAAAATTCAGGAAAGGAGTATGCAATGCAGCAAAAGATCTAACAATCTAAACGCATTTTCTAAACATAAAACCTCCGAATTGGCTTTGGAGTACATGATTTCTTCTGCCTTGAGAACAACCGTAGGAAGCTTCTCCTGCCATTCCTTGTTCTTCTTAGTCGCAGAGCTGTGAGCCTCGTTGACGACCCTAATCAAACACGTGGTGGGCAATCGATAAAATGCATAAACTTGGGCAGCTGAAACATGCAAAAAAATCAGAAAGCAACGAAAACGGAGACAACCCAGAACCTGAAAATCTGCTGAATGATGGAACCTCTCATGGGTTGGTGCCTCTCGCTGTGCCAAGCTCTCCTCACGCACTCGTAAGGTCGAGGGCCTGGCCTTGGCATCTTGAAAAGCAGGAAACTTTCTCCTGAATATGGCAGAAACAAAGGCAAAATACCACAGTGCTATTGCTATGGGTGGTGGGTTTTGCAGGGTTTTCTTCTCCTTTCTTGTTGCCCCTTTGGCTTTCTGTGTGTTGGCAATTTCATTCCCTAAATTGTAATGGGACTGTTTTGTTTGGGGGCAGGAGTAACAAAAGAAAAAGGGGAGCTTTCTCATTCTTTTGTTTGTCTTCCCAAATAATTTAGTGAGTTTACCATAGTTTGATTTTGATGTTCAATTTCAATCTCTTTCCTTTCTTTTCTGTGTGGGGTGGTAAGGGAAGAGAGAGAGAAGGGGGGTGGGGGTGGTGGGGGGTTACTGTCAAAAAGTACCTGATAATAAAGTCCATTAAAACCTTCTCTGTCATGCCATGAGCTATACGATTACATGCATGTCATCTAATATTCGTACAACCCTAAAAGAAAATGACAAAACCCTCTCTCACATCACCTTCGCTATAAAGCAAACCCTAGAGAATCCCGTTCACTCCCCTCCTTAAATATTCTACGTTACTGTTAGCCTGACTGATTTACCTTTCTCTCGATTTCTTTTTCTATTTTATCCTTCTCACAGATTCTCTTCTTCACAATTTTATGTCTCTCTCTCAGACTCTCACATTCCAATGAACTGTTCCATTTCAATGCGATGCTTCTTTTCTGATGTAGACATTCTTGTCGTTTCATCTGTACAAGTCTCTCTCTCTCTTCACTCTCATCTCAAGTCCACTTCGAAATCATCCCATCAGGGGGTCTCCCCAGGACTGCTGCTTAAGGGATATGGTACTGTTTTCTCTTGATTCCGCATTTGTCAGCTACTTAGCTTATCCAGATTCATTTAAACTAACGACTATTGATTACCAATTATAATTAATACATAACAATTAGAAAAGGACTTAATATATTTATAAAAAGCGGTTGTAAGATATTGATAAAACGTCAATACTGAGCTGTTGTTCAAAAGTCACTGACATGTCTGAGATTGGACAACAGTATTAAGGCCTAACTTGTGAAATTATTTTCAAGCATTTTTTTCTGTCCTTAAACCAGGCTACTCATCATATATTTGGGGAGAGTTTTCCATAAAGAAAGATTTGTTAATAATAAAGAAATTTAATCCAAATCGGTTGACCTAACTAAGTCGAACTTAGTGTAAACATATAACATCTTTTATTAATGAGCAATAACTCACTGTTAGTGTAGCTTTGGAATATACAGTAATTTGCTGGTCCTTGCGGGCACACTACTCTATGGCTTCTGTGCAAAAACTGAAAAGAGAAATTTTCACCCCTAATACTAGCTATATATATATACACCTAATACTAGCTATATATATTATATAATATGCGCATCAAAGTATCAAAGTCATCTTATAACATTTAAATTAAGTCACATTACTCATGATTTTTATTTAATATGAATAATTGCTTATCTAATATCTGCCCCCCATTTATTGCTTGAAGCTTGTTTTGTCCTATAATTTTAATTATTCATGAAATTTAGCACTCCCTCTGTCCTCACATACACGAATATTTTTTATAAATTTATTTTATCTTTAAATATAAAATATGTCATCATATTTTTGAATAATTAAATAATTTTGTCATTGTCTAAAAAAAAAAGACATTAATTGCGTATTATACCCACAACTATCATTATATTAATTGTGACATTATCAGGGATAAAAATAAAAAATTATTATAATTTTATATAATTTCAACTAAATAACAAACTTTTGATATAAAGAAATTCAATTAAGACCACCTTATATATGAAGATTGAGGAGTACATAGTTTCCTCTAAAATATCATAAAGGGTTAAATTATTACTTATTCATTTACAAAATGCAAGATATTTTTTTATCAAAATTGAGCCCTTTATAAAATAGTTAATTGTTTTTAAATTCATATCATTATATTTACTCTTGTATAATACTCTTTCTAATACTTTTTATAAGTTATTCTTACAAACCTCATCAATACTAATGTAAAAAAGTAAAAGGAATAAAAGTGTATAAAATTTTAAATATATCACTATATAATAAATCTCAAAAGTAATAACATATTATTTTTTTTCTCTTGGGTAATTTTTAAAATGCTTTTTAAATATCATCTAAAAAGTTGTACCGTAACTTATAATTAAAACCAAATAAACATTCTAAAACGTATCTTATAAATGAGACCAGAGAGAATATGTTGTTTCATTTAAAAATAAAAATAAAGTGATTTATTTATTACAATACTTTTAAAACAAATATTAATTACACTTTAAAATATTAAAAATATTTTGTATTTTTTAACACCCACCGTATCAAAAAATGCAAGAGGAGTAGCTATTAAGAATTAGACAATTATGATGCTTTTGTGGCGGTTCTGAGTTGTAAATCTTGGAATCTAGATATGTAACTAAATTATATTTTAGGAGACTGAAATTACAGGATGGACTTTGCTATAATCAACAGATCCTCTTTGAAATTGAATCCGCCAAAGAATATCGTAGATGCAGAAGCAAGCTTCTCGTATCTCTCTCTCTCTCTCTCTTTAAAAAATATATATATATGACATGATTCGTCTGACTAAATAATGAACAAAAATGACATATTTTTATTATTATAAAAGCGAGTATTACAGGAAAAGCATGACTCCAAGTTCAAAATTATCTCATTTTTTACATAAAAACAATAATTATGTTGAATGAAATGATCAAGCTGTTAATTTCAGTTCAGTGGTTTAGATCGATGTGGAATTATTTTCCAGACGATCTAAATCAGCTGAATAACAAAAGTTTATTCAAATTTGTTATAAAAAAAAAAAGTTCACCGAAGCTCAATTATCTGTTCAAATACGAGGCAAACAATAAACAAAACCCTTCTAATCGTTTTTAAATATCAATTCACGTGTCACCTCTAAGTCAAGCGACACTTTGAATATTTATTTATACGCACACAGCTATTTTAGCGTGAAGTTATTATTAGAAGTAGTTTTTACAAGACATCTTCTGTGTTTAAAGATGAAAACTCAAAACGTGGGAAAGATATGTGGTTTTAGCATGACAAACGCCTAAAGCTGTACAAAAAATTGGATGTTATTAAATTTTAGCTTAACTTAAAATTTGATTTCTTTCATAAAAAGAATTAAGTTAGATAATTCAAAGTTCAATCTTATTTCATGATAAATTAAAAATTAATAAGACTGAATTTGGTTTATAGAATTGAAAAATTAGTTTTATTAGTTCAATACTTATTTAGATTTTTTTTTTTTTTCTTTATGAGAGGCAATAATCCATTTCAACTTAATAAATTCAATTAAAATAATAAAATCACTTATAATCATAATAAATCTAAAAAAATTTTAACAAAAAAAATATTTTAATTACAACCTAAATGATTTAAATTTATAATTTCAACAAAACAACACTCAACGAATTTCAACAACACTACAATATAACAGTAATTTAAGAATAAAATCAATAAATCTTCATACAATCATCTTCCTAGGGTAAATTACACTCAAAATATTTATTAAAAATAAATTAATTATAATTATATTAAATAGATTAATAGAATTGGATTAGATTGAGTGGTCTATATGATCAATTTTTTGTCCAGTCCGACTTAAAAAAATAGTTTAATTTTTTTAATTTTTTGATTTTAAAGGATCAATATTTATAAAGATTAAATAGGTTAGGATTATCTTAGATTGAATTGAATGGGATAAAATTAAAAGATTTTTACACAATCTTACAAACGCATATTGTGAATTCACGTGAAAATGGAGGAGGATGACAGTATATGACAAGAAAGCTACGGTGAAGAGAATTTTAACAGAGCAGCGAGGGAGGTTAGAGCATCCACTATCCAGCAATTGCGCACTTTCAGGTTTAGGCTTCCATTATGAAGTGCGATGCTTGGCTTTGGGCACATCCCAAATCATTGTTTCATCTCTCTTAAATACTTAAGATTCTTAAGCTTCCCCAAGTACACACGAGCGTGCCCTTATCCTCCTATCCAACACGCACAACAACGCTCTCTCCCTCTATCCCTCTCTCAGCCAATGCCTGGTTGCCTACCTAGGGACGGGTCATCAAGCACTCGTGGGAATGCGCTCCCTCTCTCTGTGCACACACAGCCCACGCATGAACACTCTCAGAGTTACAGGTTATTTTTATTTCTCAAGTACGTGAGCATCTTAAATTTAATTATTTTCATCAATTTTATCAATATTAATATTAATAAAAAAATATAAATAATAAAAATATTTAAAATTTTAAATATATCCATATATAATAAATTTAAAAAATAATATTATATTATTTTTGTTATAAAAAATAATTTTAAAAATACATTTTAAATATTATTCAAAAAACTATATCATAATATATAAATAAAACTAAATTAATCTTGTAAAGCATTATTTATAAATACGATTGGCGGGGTATCATTGATACCCCCTAAACAATAAAGATTTTGACATTTTCTCACAATTCATTCATTTATTTATTTTTATTAAAAATGTAAGGTATTTGTAATCAAATTTTAATTTTAATAAAGTAATTATCTACTTTCAAATTAACCATATTTTTTCATATTTATCCCTATTAAATATCTTATAATAAATATACAATTATTATTATTAGGGAAACTTAAAAAAATATAATAATTATACCTCGAAAGGCTAAAAATACCTTACATTTTGTAACATCTAATTTTTTAAAAAATATCTTACATTTTTAAATGGATGGAGTATTAGTGAGTCTCTTTTGTTTTTTTTTATTATAAAGTATTAGTTAAGGGTATTTTTGCCATTTAATTCTATCCTAAATGATTGGCGAGCGCACTAAACTCAAATATTTTATATTAAAAAACTGTAATGTGGGATTTAATAACATAAAGAGATGGTGAGAAAATAACAGAGTAATGAGAGAAAGAATTTTTAACTTTAAAGAATATAATTAATTTATAATTAAATTTAAAATGTTCATTGATCATTCAGATAAAGCGAGAGGAAAAAATAACTATTAATCATGTACATTAGCTACCACATCTAGTTGCTTTTTCGGATGCCACTTACTTTTCTCTATCAAAATTCATATGGATGATGATCGCGTTGTGATGCATCTGTGTCTAGAAATGAGAATCACATAATTGAAATGTGATGAAAGGGATTGAGTGAGGAATATGACGATGAAGAGGATGGATTGGGAAGTGGGGATATGATGGAGTTGGGGCATCTAAGGCATTAAAGATGGAATGGTGAGCAGCCATGTGTAGGGTGCCAACTTTTATTTTGCTTCCCTTTCGC